CTTCTTTTCATCATATAATCCTCATATAGCAGCACCGCCATCCAGTGGACATTCCAAGGACTGAACGAGAGGAGGCACGCGCACACTTTCTTACGGCTTGCGCTTCGTGTCTACTTCCCACATTTAACCTCCTCGAGTTCATGGGCTATACTAGTTCACTGTATTCATGGCCCGGCGGCCCAACGCTCGCTAAACCTTTATAAAACCTAAGAGGTTACGCCCAGCGAGTATAACGTAGCAACCCTTTCTTGTCTTCTGTGCGTTGTTGAACAATAAAAAATTCGCAGCGTGCACGTTAACTAAAAGCCGAATTCTCCTGTCTATCATTCCCCCTTAGCAGCCATTGGCATGTACATTGAGCACTATCTTTTGTTGTTCAACAATGCACAGAAGAAATCTCTCACCGGCACCACCTTGGTGGTCAAACTGTTATACTTGTTACACACTACTACAACAGCTACGAGGGATGAACGAGTGCCGCCGTAAGAAGCTTCACCCCTAAGTGCACCTCAAGTAGAATCTCCGATACACGTATCTTCAATGCTGCCCAGTACTGCCCCCGGTGTGCTGCTTCCGCTGTGGAGCACGATATCTGCCTCTGATAAAGGCATCCAGTCCTTCGGCGTGGCTCGCTTTCTAGTGAGCCTGTCAAAAAAGCAGTTGAGATTTACTCGAAGAGCACCTCCACCCAGTGCCAACGAAGAAGAGCTACTTCTGATTGATGGATTCCGCCAGGGCAGTATATTGCCACCAGCACGTAGTGGGTCGACAGCAAGAGCAGCTCTCAATCTGGAGGAAAAAGAAGATCGCGTGTTTCTTCTCTGCTCGAGAGCCAGCCACGACTGACGCATCGTCCTAGAGATTGCTACCCAGTGGTTTAATAAATCCCTCACTACTTGTGACTCATCGTGACAAACTGGTGGAGGTGCTGGATATCGATCCCAGTACCTCTCGCACGATCCTACGAGCCACAGATTCTGAGGTAGCACAATTTTTCATGCACCACATCGTGTTACGACACCGTGCTCCTTTCAGTGTAATAACGGACAGAGAACGGCATTCACGGCGCAGCTTACGGACGAAGTTTTCAAACTGAGCAACACCAGACAGCGAAGGACAACTGCGTACCACCCGCAGACCAACGGACTTACCGAGCGACTGAATAAGACCCTCGCAGACATGATCTCAATGTACATCGACGTACAGCACAAAACATGGAACCGGATCTTATCTTACGTGACCTTCGCGTATAATGCCGCCGTGCGAGAGACCACGCGATTCACGCCATTTCGGCTTCTCTACGGCCGCGAAGTGCAGACCATGCTAGACTCTATCCTACCGTGTCAAGACGAAGATGAGTTGGCAACTGAGCCGAAGAATTCGCAGAGCGTGCTGAGGAAGCCCGGCAACTCGCGCGACTGCACATCGGCCAGCAACAGCAGGCAGACGCACGACGCTATAACACGCGCCACAGGGAAGTGTTTTACAACCCCGGAGATCGAGTTTGGGTGCGGACGCCCGTCCGCCGCCGCGGTCTTAGTGAAAAGTTACTGAGCCGGTACTTTGGCCTATATAAAGTGTTACGCCGCGTCAGTGACGTGAACTACGAAGTGGTTCCGGACTCAACACCCCGTGCACGGAGCAGGACACGAATGAGGCCGGACGTCGTTCATGTGTTGCGCATGAAACCATTTATTGCGCGTTGCTCGTAACTTTTCCTTTAACGTACAGCATTCTTTGTGTTTTTTGTTTATTTGTGTGAACTTGCTTTCTCGTTCATTGACGTTTCCTATATTGGCACGCTCTTCAATTTTTACTTTCACTTTATCCGAATTTCCGATTTGTTTTTCACGTGCCTATGTAGTAGCATTACGGTGATGCTATGTACTTTTCTTTCCTCTTTTTGGGACTTAATTTTTTTTTCGGACGGAGGGATAATGCCACCAGCACGTAGTGCTTTGACAGCAAGAGCGGCTCTCAATCTGGAGGAAAAAGAAGATCGCGTGTGTCTTCTCTGCTCGAGAGCCAGCCACGACTGACGCATTGTCTTAGAGATTGCTACCCGGTGGTATAATAAATCACCCAGTACTCGTGACTCATCGTGACAATATTTCCTTTTCGCTATCTCCGTGACACCAGATGGTACATCATCACCCTTGGGCGTTGCCCTGATGGCCTGCACTTTGCATTGCAGCTTGGATAGCTTGCACATAGCAGTGTTAAAGGTGCCTTCCAACACTTTTAAAGACGATAGTCTTTCTTGGGGACATTCAACGCAAAATTTTGGTCTGTCTGTCTGTCTGTTTGTCCACCCTTAACGCGAAGCGAGTACTTTAAACAGCACTAGCCGATACCCAAAAAGGTCGACCCAATCCGCATTCCCCAACAATGTTGCTCAAGATTCAGCATTCATACGCGTGCGATCGTCAAATAAAAAGTAAATTATTGCGCATATCGGAGGCACTATGACAACAGGTATACATATTGCATATGCGTCTTTTATTAGAAAAGGCATACAAAAGTATTCCTAAGAACCGTAGCGTTTATCACGCTGCGCAGGTCATGCAACGCTTCCACGAAAAGGCGAGTGTTTCCAACAATTTGCTAAGATGACACGGTAGTGGCACCTACCCATTGTCATGCGTTCTGCACCTTATCACCTCTGAAATAGGCCGCGTGCTTCGTTTTCTAAAAAAACTGCCAGATGGCGCTCATGTCTCACGTGTGACGGGATTTGCTGCGCCCGTTCGCCTGCGCTGCATGCTCGAGGCACTCTAATGCATCGCCTCCGGAATACCACTTACCGATTTTCTTGTGCAGAACATGAAATAAATATTTTGTTCACTCTCTCCACACGCAAGACTATCGTCCTTCGACTACATTTGCAAATTACATGCAAATAAAGGGTCATTTTTGTAAGCATGGTCAAGAAAGGCTGCCAATCGGTAGTAGAGACTCCCGAGGAGACGTTAGCCCAATATTATAACGCAAAACGTGGCCTTGAATTTTCAATAAATCTTTGGTGAGCTAAAACCTCTTTCTCTTCTGTAGAGAACTGATGATACAGACCAAAAGTTTCTGCGTTACAGTACAAGCACTACAGTCACCGGCCAAATATCAGTCGTCGGCTGATCGGAGCATGGCGTGTTCAATTTTTACTGGGGCCGCTGCGGGAGGCCGCCAACTGTCAACAAGTGCGCGCGCAAGCGCATTGAAAAACTGCACACTTGAAAAAAAGACAATAAGTGCTAAAGGTCACAAGGTGTGCTTGACGTCTTTTCTTTTCCCGTGCCATTTATCCTTGCTTAGCTTTAAGCGCTGTCGTCAGGACCAGAAATGAGAGAATGCTATTGCAGCTTGCCCCGAATCTTTAGAATTCCACTCGTACTGAGTGCATCCTGAAAATATTTCGGCGGTGAATTCGCGAGACAAATGCTCTGCAAGTGAATCTTTTCCATGGCGACTATAAGTGTGTCAGAGCCCCCTTAATTGGAAGCGAGGCGATCACCACTTATTCGGCATGCTTTTTCGGCCTAGTGCTACAAGATTGAACTTAAGTTTGCCGACAAACGGCATTCTCCACTTGAAAGCCAGACAATTCATCGAAACATCACGAAAGTAATTATTTTAGGGATACGAAAACACAATCACAAGGCAGGACATGAGACAGAGCGCCTCTCTTTTAATGGCGTTATTGTGCAACTCAAGTACATATGACCGTATACCAACTCAACCAACAAAAAGTTTCTCACAAATGTAAGCGAGATTCAATGCCGAGTTACGCCATGACGAGTGGAATCGGCAAGAATATTCTGGCCCTTTCCTTAGCTGCCACTGTGCTACGCACAGACGAATACTGTAAAATATTCGCAAAATCCATTCGCGAGTGCGTATAAGCGGGCCATGACGAAGTGCCAGGGAGTAACATAATTGGATGGTCAAGAAGTTACGTTCTTCAAAACAGTGTGGTTAGTCGACTAGAAGAATTCAGGGATGACACTGAAGGTGCAGGGGAAATTCCTAAAGCACGTTGCCTAGGAGATGGACGCTAAAAGGGAGTGACGATGATCAGTGCTGAAGTTCGTGCGGGTGTTTCCTGGAAAAGAATTTGCGAGATACGCTTCAACATTTGTAGACTGGACAGGTTTTGTGAATACCGAAGGTCTTTAAGTGTTCTTAGATATTTTAATGCGTCAGATTTCATTTTAAGAGTGAGAAGTTTGTTTTTCTTGCTGCTTTATTCACAATTCGATGTGTATTGTGAGCTGTAATAAATTGTCCTCGGGCAAATGTGTACGTTTGAGTGATGCTTATACTTCCGAACTGAGTATATATTTTCTTTGTGTTATCTCCCCTTGGCTCTGACTCAGTTTTTGGACCAGAATGGGCGTTCTTTGGTACACTAAAAGCACGTACTCCTAAATATTCTGAGCTTTCGTAGTGCGTGTACAGAGAAAGGAGGGTACGTCAGACTTCGGGATCTGCCCTCCGATTGCCTCCATATTAACAAGATCAGTGACAATTATTCTGGTGTCCACGAGAAGACTTGCGCAAAATGTGTCCGAAGTAGGGAGGAAAAGCCCTGAGTAGTCTACAGTGCCAGTGCAAAGATGTTGCGTGTCGCACAGCGCTCTCGTAACCTGTATGCGGAGAGTGCTGTGAGTTATTATAAGCAGGTACACTGTCGCCATGGCTCGAATTCGTTTTATGAGCATCATGGGTTTTGAGAAATTTTGGAGACTCGCATGAACTTGGAAAACAAGCTCACTAACAGCACTGTCTCAGAGCATGTTCAATGGGAAAAACTTTCCGCTGTTTACTCCGAGGTGACCAACTATATCCTGCAGAGCCAGGTGCAATTTCAGGGACAGGAATCGAACACAATAAATTTCATGACAATTCAGTGTGCTGTAACGAAAGTCAAAGAAAAAATAATTTAAGGTGACATTGAATTTTCTCTTGAAATGTTGAGGTAAGCCTCGCACGTCTCCTTGTTGCAGGCTCTGTATAAGATGACGGCGAACAGCACGTATTACTACTACGGTGACGGTGCGGTCAGCGTCATGGCGGTGCTCCTGCTTGCGTTCATGGTGCTCGCTGTGCTGGGAAACGCCATGGTGGTGCTCACAGTTCTCCGACACAGAGGCATGCGCACGCGCACCAACATGTTCATCGTTAATTTGGCAATCGCTGACATTCTGGTGGCGCTTCTTGACATGCCCGTATCCATGGCCACCCTGCTTCGTGGTGACTGGGTCATGGGCCAGGCCTTCTGTCAATTCAACGGATTCACCATGGCTCTGCTGCTCATGTGCTCCATACACACGCTCATGTACATGAGCGTCCACAAGTACATCAGCATCACACGCCCTTTCAGCCACCGCGGAGAGGGCTACCGCAAGGTGGCTGTGTTTCTCGTCGCCGCTTGGCTCTGGCCCTTCTTTTGTGCGATCACGCCGTTTCTCGGCCTGACCGAGATCGTCTACAAGCGCGGTGCTTCCCAGTGTGGACCGGCCTACCCGCGAGACCTGAAGATGTACTCGCACTCGGCTCTCATAACCATCACCAACTACTTCGTCCCGCTCGGAGTGATGGCCTTCTGCTACGTTAACATTTTCCGCGTCATAGCCGACCACATGTCGCGTGTCAAGAACCACATGGGTCTTCACAACTCGGTGGTGCAGCAGAAGCGCATCAATATCACCCTTTTTCTCGTGCTCATTTGTTTCCTGCTCTGCTGGACGCCGTACATGATCTACACCTTCTACGTCAACAGCCGCGGGTCCAAGACGCACGTGCCCTACATCCTGAACCCCGTGGTGAGTGATCATTTCCTATGCGCTCTCCATAAAGCCTTCCAGTCTTTAGTGGCCTCGACCTTCAAGCAGTGGGGCACCCTCATACGTTGCCACTGCGCCAAAAAGGGTATCATTCACGTTCGCTTGCGTGGTGCGAGCCATTATTCTGGTCCTTCATTTGCGACATTATACTTGTTTAGGCCGCTCAAGTGTGGTGGTTCATTGCGAAAATTCATAGCTTGCGTCGTCATTAGACCAAGTCGATCAACAGAAGCTTCACTATGATGATCCATTCATGTTTTTAGATCCTACTCCCAGTGCAACGAAACTTTGGACAGCTATGCTGGTGCTCTGCGTAATCAAAAAATCGTAATTGCTTACTACTGAAGCGGGGTTTTACATCCCAGAAGCTTATCTCTTTTCACAATTGGCACCTCTCTAGCTTTTCTGGGAGAGCGGAGCATTTGATTGTAGGTGAGCAATAAACAGCTGTATCTTGCCGGTACTTAGCTACGGAGCAGAATCCTGGAGACTTACAAAGAAGATTCAGCTTAAATTGAGGACCACACAGCGAGGAATAGAAAGAAAAATGGTACGTGTAACCTTAAGAGACAAGAAGAGAGCAGAGTGGATTAGGGAACAAACGGGGTTTAAGAATATCATAGCTGAAATCAAGAAAAAGAAATGGACATGGGCCGAGCATGTTGCACGTAGACGGGTTAACCGCTGGTCGTTAAGGGTAACTAACTAGATGGCCAGAGAAGGCAAGTGGGTTAGGGGGAGACAGAAGGTTACGTGGGTAGATGAGATTAAGAAGTTTGCGGGCATAAATTGGCAGCCGCAAGCACAGGACCGGGTGAACTGGCAGAACATGGGAGAGGTCTTTGCCCTGCAGTGGACGTAGTCAGGCTGATGATGATGATGATGATTATGATGATGATTATGATGAGCAATAAACAGTGCAATTAGTAAAGCGACGAGAGTAATGATTTCACCAGGTTATTCACCTGGTGAGCGCTCACCAGCATTTCACTCGAGAAACAAAAAATTACCAAGTACCTACGTTTGGTCTCAAACCGTATATTATGAAAAATCAATCCGGAATCTCCCACTGCGACGTGCCTTGTCACTATACGAATATTACGACGCTCCAAGCTCAGAATGCTTGGGCCTCTTAGGTTGAAAGTTGGCAGCGTGCTGCAGGTTTTGAGCGGCCACCCCTATCGCCCAGTTACTTTTTTAGAGGAGCACTGAAGAAAAATTTCGAACGCGAGATAAAAAGTGAGAAAGATTTACGTGGAGATAAAAAAGGTATAGCCACAGACAAACAAACTTCGTTGACCCTGACGACCCGTCTATCTATCTATCTATCGGTCTATCTATCTATCTCTGTATATCTATTTATCTGTCCAACTATCCGCCTGCGACTTTTAACTTTCTTGGGCGTTTCGATAACGATATATATATATCAAAATTTGTATGCCATAACATGAGTGTATGGCGAGCATAAGTGACTCTCTCGGTGCCAACTTTCTGCTGAAGTTTTTGTGGAAAGCAAAAACTACGTGGGCGGAGCTTCTGCCCATGTCTTACTTTGCCAAGTAGTCCATTTGCGGGCAATTTCGGTTCACAAGGGCATTCAACAGCACGAGCATCATACAATAAACGTTAGATTTTTCGGAGAAATGGATTCAATTGTTCATTTTCAAGGAAGGAAATAGAATTTCGATTTATTTGAAAGAAAAGGAAGGCATTACGGAATAGAAACTGGGCTATGGGAAGCCAATTTCAAGGCAAGAAACTCTTTCCTAAAGTTCAGTGCTTACTGGGACGGCATCGTTGTTTCTCTTGTTTTGAAGACGCAAACACTTTCTGGAGACGCTCAAGTTATCTTCTCAGAGGACGCGACGAAATTTCGGCCACGACTGGTCATGAGCGGACGTCTGCCGTTCGTAAATCTAAGTCAATAAAACACTGTTTTTGGTACAGTGAGAAGTATAATACACACAGGTGCGTCTGTTTCCCAGCAAAACTTTGCACTGGTAACTTTCTACTCGTAAGTCGCTGTCATCGCCAAGTGCAAAGAACCACTTCCTCCGTATAGACGCCGACGCCTGTGGTGTTACAGTACGCGATCTTCAGCGTGATTTTATCAACAATATTGTCACGTTTTTCACGACAAACTTGATACAATGGGCTCGTTGAGTATACTAGCCAAGCAGCAGCTCAGATAGATCGTCTTTGTCCTCTTTCACTCTTCGATCTCACCCAAGCAAATTATGTGGCAATAGTCTTCCCCCCCCCCCTTCGAAAGCATTGACTCGGTGCTCGTAAAGAAAAAATGAAGGCATACACACGCAGATATGTAAAACCAAAAGAAGAGTGCCAGTACTCGCAGCACAAATGAGGAAATTTCGTCAACGCTTGCGCCGAGCGCAAAAAGAAAAGGCAAAAAAACACTGGAGAACACAAACAACAGCAGCTACGCAAAATCACGGCATGTTGTAGCACGTGAAACCACAAGGGCTACTGTTTGAAGTAGGGCTTCAGCCGAACGACACGCACGATTTCGGGTCAAAACTGTCGACGAGAAGACGCTGCGCCGTCCGGAAATGCCTCGTAGGTAACATCTGTGACACGTCTAAGAAGCTTGTACGGTCAAAAATAACGGCTTAGGAGTTTTTCGGATAAGCCTGGTTGCCGGACAGGGATCCACACCCACACTCGGTCCCCAGGGTGGTAAGTGACGTTTGGATGGCGGAGGTCGTAACGTTGTGCGTCTGGATCTTGTTGGTGACTGGTGTTTATGCGAGCTAGCTGACGAGCTTCTTCGGCATATTGAGTGTATTGCTCAGCGTCTTGAGCAAGGTCATTGCTTTGGTCGCACGGAAGCATAGCATCGAGCATGGTTCGCACGTTGCGTCCGTAAACAAGTCAGAAAGGCGGAAATCGCGTTGTTTCTTGCGTTGCCGTATTGTAAGCAAACGTGATCTATGGAAGAATCTCGTCCCAGGTCTTGTGTTGTACGTCCACGTACATTGACAGCATGTCCGCTATGGTCTTCTTAAGCCTCTCTGTCAGTCCAGTGGATTGCGGGGGATAAGCCATTGTTTTTCGATGACTTGTGCAGCTCAGTTTAAAAATGTCTTCCATCATTCGTGCTGTAAACGACGTCCCTTTGTCCGTAATCGCGCATTAAGGGGCACCATGCCATAGGACGATTTTGTGCACGAAGAACTGCGCGACTTCAGAGGCCGTGCCACGAGGTAGCGCTTTTGTTTCAGCATAATGGCCTTCAGTTCGGGCTGTCAAGGTGGATGGACGTGTTTTTTGAGCGCTCCGGATCGACTGCGCAGATAAGTGTTTTTGCATGTTTTAGCTTGTCTTTGTAATTATAAGGCAGTGGTTGAAATCTTCGTAACACTTATTTTATGGTACGGCTTTTTCGGGGGCCAGTCACCAGGTATTTATTAGTTATTGCGGGTGTGTGTGTTTGAATTTCTTTGTTGTTCTTTTTTTTTCTTTTGCCACCCCGTGGGGGAGGTGCGCGTACATTGAACCCACACAGTTTTGTAGTAGAGCTTAGACTTTTTTTTCTCGTAGTGCAGGGTTCGAGTTTAGTAATTATCGAGTATAGGGACAATTGGTGTCAGAAAGGCATGGTTAAAGAGACTGTAAAGTGTTCAGAATGTGGAGTGGGTTTGAAAGTGGACCCAAGCGTAGAAGCGGATGGAGAAGAGGCTGACGCGAAGTGTAGGCAATGTGAGGTCGAGGAAAAAATGGAGAAAATGATGGTTGCCCAGAGTGAACTGCTGGTGAGAATCGCCAAGCTCGAGACTGAGTTGGCGACAGAGCAAGAGAAAACGAGGGCAAAGGGAGAAAGACTGAAGTCCGCCGAGGAAGCGCTAGCGAAGCTGAACAAAGAAGCAACCTACCGAGAGAACAGTAGGGAACCGGCAACCAGAACGGTGGAGAAGAAAAAGCAGGCAAGTTTGGAAAAAACAGGTTTAGCCGGTTCAACTGTCGCAAGGCCCAGCTTCAGCGAGGTAGTGGTGGGGCAGGGAGGGAACAAAGCAGCCGGCATCACAGGTGCAAGTAGCCCCCAGGTGCAGAACGCTCCAGCTGAAAAGTCGCAGCATGTGATAATCGCCGAGGCCTCGAATTTAAATCGATGCACAGAAGCCATCAAAGAGCGGGTAAGAGGTGACAAGAGGGTTGCAGTACGGGCGTTCCCCGGACGCAAGCTGGAAGCAGTCATGAGGCAAGCGAGCGCAAAGCTCAAAACGACAGCTGATAGACGAAACCTAGTGATAATTTCAGGCGGTTTAAACGATGTCCTAAATAGAGATGCAGCAGGACTAGCAGCCACACTGGCGAAAGGCGTCGATGACATGCGCGCCACTTCTCTTAAGGTACAGGTAGTGATATGCACGATACCGGAGGTACCGGTGCGTGATAGCAACCTGCAAAGAGCGGTGGTCAACGCAAACCAAGAGATATGGCGCATGAGTCGAGAGCGAGGCTTTGAGGTGGTGGAAATAAACAGAGAGGTGCATAGGTGGGGGGGTTTTCAACGAGACAGAATTCACTTCGATGGGCGGCTAGGTCATGAGGTGGGTTGGTGACTTGCAGGACGCGCAGTAGCTTTTTTGGGGGGCAAGCGAGCCCTTCGGGGTGCAGGATAGCTAGTAACGAGGAGAACAACCAGGGAGACTCTTCGATAGGTGGTATGGACAGAGACGATTCCAAAGTGGCACCAATATCTAAGATAGGTAGAGTCCGAGGCATAAATAGACGTAGCCACGAGCGCCGAGCCAATTCAGACATAGGGTATATTAACATGCAGGGTGGTAGGAACAGGCTGAAGTGGGAAGAGATAAAAGAACAGCTAAGGGAAGAGAGGCCGATGATATACGGTTTTGTAGAAACACATATCAGGGACATGGAACAACCTCCGAACAATCCGGACAACGCGTGGGAATATTGTAACAGAACAGAAGGCAGCAGACAGGGGGGTGGTA